TATATTTGCTATGATTTTATTGATAATTTAGGCATCTATGTTCATAAAGGATATTGGTCTGTAATTTTTTACTCTGGTAATGTCTTTGTCTGAGTTTCATATCAAGGGTCTGGTTGTTTCATAAAACAAGTTTGAGCGTTTGTGGTCCTTTTCTACATTCTGGAATAATTTCAGTAATATTGCGTTAAATTTTCATGACTGTTTTGTAGAATTCTTTGGTGATGTTGTCTGGTCCTGGGAATTTTTTGTTGTTAGAAATTATTAATGACCTAATCTATTTCTTTCTTTCTTTTAAATTATCTATTGAGATTCTCAACATCAGTCTTTGTTAATTTAGTTATGTGTTTCTAGAAAATATTCCATATTTTTGTTTTTCAGATTTGTTTTGAAAAGTGTGTTATAGCATTGTATTCTTATTTCTTTTCTTCGGTTTGTTCTGTATTGATTCTGCCCATTTCATTTCAATGCCATGGTTTTTGCATTGTCACCTTCTTTTCCTTTGGTAAATTTGCCATTGGTTTGTCGATTTTGTTAACCTTTACAAAGAAACAACTTCTCATATTTTCAGTTCTTCCCATTTTTTTCTGGTTTTCTGAACTACTTATTCTGTTCCTTATCTTAGCGATTCCTTTTCTTCTGCTGGCTGAGATTTTGTTATGCTGTGCTTTCTCTAATTGATGATGTTGAGTTAGATGTTGACTTTTACCTCTTTATTCTTTTTATGATGTGTGCCTTAATTAATATAAATTTCCTTCCAAATAATACTTTGCTGTGACCAGTACATATCTTATCATTCCTTTTTCCAAGGGACACAAAGATGCCCCAAACCTAATTTTTTTCATGATGTATAGGTACAAGACATAAACTTGTACATAAAGCTTTGGATCTTGTTGAACATTCAATATAGTAATGACTGTTTTGGACAAAATAGATAGGATCAGGTAAGAAGGAAAACAGAGCATCAAGACAATGTTGTCTTTCTTTATTGGATGTTGATTTTAATGCCTTCTTAAGTATTTCTATTAAGTACATGTATACTTAAGGATATATTACCAAAATCCAATTACAATTAAAATTTCAGAATAAAAAATCCAGGACATTTATTTTTAAATAATTGATATGAAGATATCATGAGTTTTTCTTGAACAATAAACATGTAGGTATATGACAATATCAATATATATTTGCAAGTGCACAAGTAATAACTTACTATAGAGGAAGATTTTAAAATAAAAAATCCACAATCACAGGCAATATCTCTTTAGCTATTACTGTTTATACTCCCAATGGGTTATATCATCATAAAAGGAGAGGAGATTGAAGTTGTCAAGGATGTCTTCCTCCTTGGGTCCACAATCAATATTCAGGGAAGCAACCCTCAAGAAGTCAAGTGCCTGATTGGCGTTGGGTAAATCTGCTGCACAAGACTTTTTTTAACTGTTGAAATGCAAGGATGTTGCTTTGAAGGCTAAGGTGAGCCTAACCCCTATGGTCATATTTTCAATAGCCTTATAGGCATGTGTAAGTTGGGCATGAAGTAAGGAAGACTGACGAAGATTACATGCATTTAAATCATGCTTCTGGGGAAGAATATTGAAAATACTATGGACTGCCAAAGGAACAAACAATCTGTCATGGACAAAATAAAGCTAGAATACTCCTTAGAGGCAAGGATGGCAACCGTTTGTCTCAGGTGCTTTGGACAAGTGTCAGGAGAGAGCAGTTGCAGGAATAGGACGTGATGCT